CGATTGAATAAATCATTGAACGAATAGTTGGCAAACATTTGCGGCAAATATTTATCATAAAAATGATTTAAATAATAATTATCAACAAAAGTAGGTATTTGGCAAATATATTGAGCACGAACATTTACATAACAATTATGCCATTCACATGCACAAATTTTATTCTTTCTGTATTTTGATAGTATTTTTACTTTGTGTTTCCATATCTCGTATTCAGACTTTAAACCAAATTCATTATTAATCCTTGTTTTGTCAAAAAACACATCCCTTTCCGTACAGATAGTAATCTCTGGTAAAAGCAAACCATTGCTCGGCTTTACGTTAACGCTATAGACATTGGGATACTTGAAGTAATTTATTGTTAATTCTATGGCGCCATAGGATAGCACACAAAAGCTTAAAACTTTTGCTATTAATTTAATAATCAAAACAAAATTAATGTTATTATTAATTATGATTATATGAATGAATTGTAATAATTGTTGTATTTTTATTTTAATACTTATCCATAGAAATACAAATAAAGTTATTAATTTATTATAGATAAAAATCAAACTGCATTTAAATACAAATAATACATTATAAATATGTTGGAAATCCATTGCAAGTGTTGTGAATCATAAATTATGATTATAAAAATTATTATCTAGCACTTTAAGTCTAGTCCATGTATTTAAATAATTTTGTTATTAATTTTTGTAAAACAGAAAGATATAATATATTTATTAATCTATAAAAAAAAAGTTCTATACATTTACAAATAATTAAATCGTTACCATAGTAAAAATGTTTTCAAACATGATAAAGCAATCCAAAATATAAACAGAACAACACCTTTTGTGTTGTACATGAGCTAAATAATTAAATGTATTAATTATTATTGTACTAAAAATATACACAATTAAAAAAGACAATTAAGACAAAAGACAAAAGAAGACCATTAATGTCACTAATATTAATCCAAACGTAGTGAATTTAATCATCACAAATAATCAAAATTCAACACGTGGTAATTCTATTCAACCACGTGTTTTGCGTTTTAACAAATATAATATTCCGCGTCAATAACCACAATTGCCTAACAGTATGTTTGCCGATAGTGTTGTGTAAACTATGTTTTACCGCTTACGAGTTAGTGTAGTCTCTATTTTAATTATATTCATTGGAATAAAAATATTCACAAAAATTAATGAATTTTAAAATAAAAGTAAGTTTAAAATTACTTTTGCACTGTTGAACAGAGATTCAATTTATTTAGTTTTTATATAAAATTTTTAATTTAACAAAAAAGACTAATTAAAAACAAATTTGCTAATATTTCAACTGGTTGATGTTATCTAGGCGGCCAATATGTTTCTTCCAATGTAAATTTGCAATATCTCCTAAACGGGATGAGCTAGCTCAAATCTGTAAACGGTAAAATGATGTCCCATATATCAAATATTTTATCTGAAAAATAACCGTTTACAGATTTGAGCTAGCTCATCCCGTTTGGGAGATATTGCAAATTTACATTGGAAGAAACATATTGGCCGCCTAGATAACATAAACTGATCAATATAATAAATGCATAAATTGTATAAAATAAATTACCCTAATTTAAACATTATATGGATAATTAAAAATTAGCATCAAAAAGCTTAAAACGCTGAATTGTTAATCTGTTTTTATATAATAAATAGCATAATAATCTAAAACACATGTTACTTAATTAATTTGTGACGATTCTGGTATAGATGTGAAATGAAGAGAGAGAATGAATGAAGTGTACGCAAAGAAAGTTGGATTCAAACTGAACTAAGAGTCCTTTTATTGTCGCTTTTTAAGGGTTATATTAAATACAACTTTGCTTTTTAGCCAAATTCCAGGAATTAAACGAAAAGTTAAAATAAATGCAAAATATAAATGTTACAAATAAATGTAAAAATAAATGATAAGAATAATGGTTAAACTAGAAGATAATTATTCCTCCATGACTTGGAGTTGATTCGATGAGTGACTTTCCTCACAAATTAATATGATAAGATTAAATAATTTTAAATTTTAATAAATTAAAGTAAAATTAATAAACCTAATTTATATTAAGTCGAGGTTAATTTAGTTTATATAAATATTTGATTACGTTTTGTTTAATAGACACAAAAAATTAAAAACAACTTGAAAAATAGCTTAACTGGTTAATGTTAATATAAACTGATCAAGATAATAAATGTATGACAGTACATAAATAAAAGTTATATATAATTCACTAACAAGTAAGTTTGAGTTATTACAATTACATTTTAAGATATAATGCCAAGTAATTACATTAATATTTAAATAATCATGTTTTTAGTTGTGCTGTTCATACTATCACCGATAGTGTTAACAATAGTCCTATTGTGGCAAAAGTGGACATTTTGGAAACGCCGGAGAATACCGACCGACTGGTCGGTCAGAAGTGGTCAACCCTTTCATATCGCGGACAATGAGTCCCACAGAAAACACGGGAAAATTGTTGGGTATTTGAAAAGTTGCTAACAATTTATAAATTATGTTTAAAGAATATGAACAATTTATATTTTAAGCTTTTACGAGGGATTAAGACCATGTTTATCCATAACTGATCCCAATCTCATACGTAAAATACTTGTCACCGAATTTCATAAATTTGCTGAACACAGGGTATGTTTTAATGCGAATAATTTAAACATTGTAATAATAATTTATAGCTAGAGTAGTTAAAACAGAATACAACATTAATAAGTCAATATACATGTATTTTAACAATGCTGAAAAGTAAATTAAAATGTTTAGTTACTGAATTAATAAACAATAAATCATCTAGGCACTTGCATCAACCTCGGAACCCATAAGCCATGGGTTATTTTTCTGCCGATACCGGCAATGGAAACGTATCCGTGCGCTGCACTCGACAGCATTCACCACCGGTCGCCTCAAAGCTATGCTACCGATAATGTCGAACACGTTTGACCGGTTGGTCACTCTATTGGACCCGAAAGCCCGCGACAGCCAAGTTGTGGACTTTCGCATTGTTTACGACTCATTTGCGTTCGATGTAATTACCAGGGCTGTGGCCGGGGCTGACGCAAACGCCCTGGGTCACCCTAATGATAATCCATTGTTCACATCGGTCAAAACAATGTTTCAAATTGATCAAGGGCTTAACGATTGGCTCGTGTATTACATGCCTTTTATACGGCGATTCATTGATATACCGTTTTTTGATCGCCAAAAAATGCAAATAATTATTGATAGCGTGAATCACGTGATTAGTGAACGAGTGGCCCGGGATGTACAGGTGCCCGATCTGTTACAGCACTCAGTGAATGCCAGCGTATGGGCCGACAAATACCTTAACCCTCCCGCCAATGCTAACAAGTCGTTTGATAGTAAGTATTAAAAATTTTAATTAAATTCAATAATATTCTAGCTATGTGGTATATAATATACCGTGAATTGTAATTAGAATTGACCAAGGTGGAAGTGATTGGTCAAGCAATTAACATGTTGGCCGCCGGACACGAGACCACAGCCTCGCAGTTGTGTCTCATTACTCGCATACTTGCGCTCAAACCCTGGTATTAAACATAACTGGTTCACGAGATTCATAACACACTGTATACTAAGGATACCAATGATTTATAGTAGTGGAGTACGAAAAGTTGCAAAAAATGCCATGGTCAGCGCAATGCCGACCAGACTTTTAAGTGTTTAACTTTAATAATTTTGATGCCTTTATTGAGATAAGTGTAGCCGTCGGGAGGGGGCGAGCGATCTTATAAACTACATTATTAATAGCTGATTGGTGGTTATAAATAATAATGACACTTTTGGTTAACAAACGATCGATGACATGGCTTGCGTCACGAACGGAGATTTCATTAAAGTATTTTAATTATAATTATAATATTCGTGTTATTGTTACACACATATTGATTTGTAATCAACCATACTGTAAGCAAGGGTGTATCTTCATATACGATATCACTGCATTTACATTTACTTTGAAGCTACAATCTTGCTTATAGTATGCAATGCTAGATTAAAATCAATATGGGTGTAACAATAAAATAATTAATGTAAATATAATATAATATAATGAAATGCGGAGTTTCATTAAAATAAAATAATTAAATTCAATGTATGTTTTAGTTTGAATGTCAGCAGATCAGGAATGATATTTTATCAAGCAAATTAGTTTTTAGTTTGATATTAAAATATTATTTCAAAATGTTGTCCACATCAACAGTAATTAATGTATTATTAAAAGCATTACTATTGTCTGGATTTCTATACCAAACATATGATATCAGTTTAATATACTTTTCATATGAACAAACTACCAATGTCAAATTTAGCGATGAGCTGAGTGTACCGGCGCTCACAATTTGCATGCGAACAGAAGAACTGATACGACGAGAGATAAAGTCTAAATACTTTGACAAAAATGGTAATTTTATACAAAAGGTATTCATTAATCAGTCTATGAATGATCAATTGAACGAACTCATGGACTTTGATGATTTATTTAAATGTGGAACTTATGGCAAATTTATATATGAAAATTGCACTGACGTGGCTCAGTATCGCCGGTCAATCACTACACTAGGTGATAATTTTTGTTTGACATTTTTATTTATGCCTGAATTTGAGGATGTTGAATTAAATGAACATTACCAGACGAAATTTCGGACAACTAAAGGGGACCTGTCCTTTTGGTTTGGAATAGAAAATACATCAATTATTCATTATCTAAGTGTTAACGTGCATTCACGCCAAGAAATGGTACGAGACAGTCGCCGCAAGGGTAATTGGGAGGGTTACCTAAATGAATATAAAGAAAGCTCTTTAAAAATTTTGTACCGGTTATATACCGTCCAATTTAATCACATACTAAATAGTGATAAATGTTTAACAGGCAAAGCGCTTGATAAGTGCGTATTGCAATGCATTATTCGTCGAATTGGGAAAGAAAGTGACTGTTTATCTGTTGTCACGCTACATTACCCTGATGATAATAACTTTGACGAGCTGAACTTATTTTACGGTAATAAATCAATGAAGTACTTTATGACGTCTGATTATGAATTACATTGTTTAAATGAATGCAATGAAATTGAGTGCATTAAACACTATTACATCCCTCAATACAATGCGGAAAAAACATTAGGTGATGAGTCGGATTTTATTATTGAGTTATATTTACCGACAGAACCCGATATGATATATGAGATATCATTGAAATTATCATTTGAAGAGTACTTAATATATATGGGATCACTTGTGGGCCTATGGTTTGGTGTATCGGTGCTTATGTTCACTAATCTAATCACACAATTGTCCCACAAATATAAAATCTATTTCTGCAAAAAGCAGACCATTATTGTCGCTAATATTCCAAATGAATTGAATTTAAACATAACAAATAATCAGAATTTAATACGTGTTAATTCAATTCAACCACGTGTTTCGCATCACAACACACATCGTATTCCGCGTCAAAGACTACAATTGCCGAACAGTATTGCCGATAGTGTTGTGTAAACTATGTTTTACCACTTAATGTAATCTCTAATTTAATCATAAATAAGTCATTGATTTGACATTAAAAAACTTTTTCTCCCGAAAGCGGTGAACATCCTAAAAGTTTTGGGGCATATTATATACATTCTTAGGAGTATTTTGAGAGATTTTTAAATCAACTTTGTAGCACCTTTTAAGACGATACCACCTATAGTATCTCTTTTTTTACTAATTTTCCACAATTTTGCATTATTAAAAGACCTAATAATTTTTAGTTAAAATAATATTTAGTCATTTAATATTTTATTTGATTTGCAAATATTATTCTATAATTTGTCCAAAATTTCCAAAGTTGCCATCTATTGTAGTAAGGATAGTGGAATTAATTTTATAATTTAAGTTAACATTCCTAGGCTCCAGAAACGTTTTATTAAAATCGGATGATTGGTCTTTATACTGAAAATTTATATAGTATGCAAGTCGGAATTATTTTGAGAAAATTAGCTAATTTATACACAAACGCACTGCCCGATACTCATAAAATGTACACAAATACACCGCCACATACCATAAACACATTGTGCACACAATACATACCATACTATACATAAAATCAATTCAAATGTTGGTCAAACTCACCCCAACTCCACAATCAATGGACTATTTAAATCACATTATACAAAAACATTTTATGCCATTGAATACACAGTATAATACACGCACACGACTTGCTATACTGTACATTCAATTGTTAGTGCATTACTATTCAATTGTTTAAATCATTGCATTTCAATAAATTTTGTATTTTATAAATTGTTTCATTTAATTACAATAAAATAAAGTTAATTGCAATTACAAACCGCGACTGCGATTCATCATTGTTTTAGTAAATAACTAATTCAGTGTCTAAAAATTCAAAATCACTTACTTTGTCATTTTATTACTTGTTTGTATTACTTGCTTGTGTGGTTTTGTTCGGTTTTTATCTATTTATTTTTGTTAGTTAAGTATTTTTTAAACATTTTTTTGGTCAATTATATTTTTTTTGTTAATGTTTTTACTGTTTGTGTTTTCCATGTTTTAATGTGTTTATCATCCCGTTCAGTCAAACAGTCAAACAATCTATATTGTTCCGTACGGGAAACGCGAATAACTTTTGAATGAGTAATTCAATTTTAATGATTCCAATTAGAAAAATATTGCCTGATAATTGTGTAATCGATCCATATATAATATGCCATCATACCTATCATAGCAAGTCTATGTGAATTATAAGAAAAGCAATAATTCCCATTGAAAATGTGTATAAATAGAGGCTCATATCAATGTAATTTAATTATGAGCAATACTAAAATTTATAAAAATTATGTTTTTATGAAAAATTCATCAAAACCAACGAAGAGCAAGGCGTGAATTTCTGTGCATTTGCCCGCATAATAGGGCAACATATTTTATAATCAATTTATTATCACTTGTATTCATTCAATGTAATGTTCTATAATACAACAATAATAATATCTAGTTTTAAACTTTTTTGAAAGCTTTTTTTGGAAGCTTGCTCAGTCTTGATCAAAACTATAAAATATTGAGAATCTAAGAAATAACTTTTTGCTATTAATAATTCTTGTCAATTTGAACTAGTGAACGTTAAAAATTACTAGATAAATTTTAATTGGCAATCAAATGAAATGTAGAATTTTATGCACTTGAGATAACTGTTCTTTACACCAGAAATTTTTTTGAAAAATCTTGAAACAGGTGTTTACTCATTTGTCATTCTGAACATTTTGACATAGAAAATTTTAAAATTAACCTAGTAGTTTTTGAGTTATAAAAATTCTCTGTTTCACAAAAACAAGTAGTTTATAATGAATTGTGAAATTGCCAAAGTATCTATCGAAAGTGTGACTAAAACTTCAATTAGTTAAATTTTAAAAATTAAATCTAGGTTCTAGATCAGGAGCACGCAAAATCAAGCAAAAATTAACATTGCCTCTATGCTCCCATAGACAATTCATTACAGTTTACCCTCGTTTACCCAGTTTTACCCCCAACTGTGTGGCTATGTTCTAGATAATTGAAAAAATATAGCTAGAAAAAATCAATAATTGTACAAAAAATTTATTTTCAATGGAAATTATTTCTTTTTTTAAATTCACTTAGAAACTTAACTATAATAGGTACGGTGGCATATTATATATGGATCAATTACACAATTATCAGGCAACATTTTTCTAACTGGAATAATTAAAATTGAATTACTCGGTCAAAAGTTATTGCCTTTTCCCTACGGAACATTATAGATTGTTTGAGTGTATGTACTTATATGTGTTTTATAAACGTATTATGTTTAACATATGGTAAGTTTTATTGTATTGTCGTAATTATTAATAAGTTATTTATATTTATTGTGTATTTTATGTATTTAGAGATGGTATATCGGGTAGACGGACAAACGGGCTCGACTTTCTCAGCCATTACAATTGTTTATAACAGTCATAACATAATGCATATCTCTACTATTGTATGCTTGCCGTATGTCTTTGTGTTAACAGGCGGCTGTGCCACAATACAATGACCAACTGATACCACTATAACTTATTTAATGTGTGTATCTGTGGTTAACAGCATCACCACTACACGGCACACGCTGTGAACTAAATTGTTGGTTATCCAATTACAATATACAATTCCATAATGTGTTTAGAGTGAGTGCCGTATGTGCACAAAATACTTCGTCGATCGCCACGCCGGCCAACCATAAGGTGTGCATATGGCCAGTGGCCATCATCACACACTAGCACACCATATGCGCCAAATAAATTTTGAGGCCTAAACGTCCCGGGCGTTTGGCGAGGGCCCGCGTCTCCCATAGTATGGTATTCCATACACTGAGTTAATCTCTTCTCTCTCTCTCTCTCTCTCTCTCTCTCTCTCT